CCGTACTACACGTTGTTATCGCATCCGTGTTGGATGGATAAGGCAGGGGGTCGATCCAAATCCACGTCTCACTATGCCAAAAAGGAATCCACAAAATAACACTAGTTTTGAGTATGAACGTTTAACACCATAATCATATAGCACGGTGCGTTGTGGTGAAGTTTTGAGAAAGATTTCAAAATATTTGTCAGTGCTCGAAAAAAAAAAAAACAACATCCAAAAAGTCTTATGTTGGATTTGTAGAGACCCGTCAGGACACTGTAGTCTCAATTTCAATTTATAACCACATCAATTTTTTTTCTCCCTCGCGACCCGATGCTCATCCATAATCACGCGGCTTGAGTGTCGCGTCGCCGCGGGGAGGGGGAGGCCTGCATAGCACGTGTCGGTGCATGAAGCCCCCCCGAGGTAGCGAGAGTGGATGATCAGACATATTAATACACAAGCAGCGCTGTCACTGCTCCAGCGCTCTTCTGTACCAGAGTACTCACGGGCTAACGCGCATCGTTAATTTATGCTTTTACCTCATTAGAGTCAGAGTCTGATCAAAAACATAAACAAGACGCGGTTGCCGTCGGTTTCGTCTCGGGGAATTTTGTAAATTTAGAATAGCGTAAATGAACAGCATTTGGAACACCTGGAAAGTTTTCCCGTAAATCATGCCAATATTTTTTCTCGGTGTTTGTGCCGATCGTCAAAACAGCGCGCGCGTAAAAAAAAAAAAGAATGCCATCGCAGGGAAACCTGAAAGAATAAAACCAAAGCGCTGTCAGGTCAAGCCGCGCCCAGAGCAGGAAGAAAAGGCTGCAGGCGGGGCTGGGCGCGGCGGGCAATGCCCCAGAGATGTTGCTGCCCTTCGGTTTGACAGCAGCAGCAGCATCAGCAGGGCGGATGGGTGCCTGGGCCCAGAAAGAGAGAGAGATAGACCAAGAGGAAGAGTATCGGATCTCCATCAATCCTTCTGATTGTGAAGCCCATGAGTGACAGATATACTTGTTTTAATTTCTGGATGTTCGAGAGAGAGAGAGAGAGAGAGAGAGAGAGAGAGAGAGAGAGAGAGAGAGAGAGCACGTGCGTCCATGTTATCTTCCGCCCGTGCAGGTGGCGACCTCGCCCGGGCATGGGAGTCCTCCTCCGGAAGACCGCCACACCACATCCATACTGACCTCAGCCTCAACTTGTGTATTTTATTGATAGTGCCGTTTTCACAGAGCCAATGAATGGGCGGGTGGCGAGGCGCGCTCATGGCGGCGCTCACTACGAGCACTACTCGGGAAGGGGCTCTTTCATTCTCCTTGAGAATGCGCGCGCGGCGAAGCGATCCCCGCGGTCCCATTGTTCTCCGATGACCGCGCGCCAACTTACTACTGCCCCGCATCCCTGTCCCGCCGCGCTGCAAGTGAGCGGTTGAACCTTTCGTGAATGACATTTGTTTAGCGGTAGAGGGGCCCAGGCCTCGACGTCTCTAGGCCGTCGTCGTCGTAAGGCGATTAAGGCGACCGTGGAGGTGGACCGTTTCGTATCGCCGGGTGCATATTGCCGTGCATTGCATGGCGGACTCTGGGCTTAGTAAGTGACAGGACAACATCCAGCAATTGTCAATGCTCTCAGGAGTTGAGGTCGAGGTAGGGTACTGAGGTATGGTGGTTGGAGCTATGATGTAAAATCCCGAAGCTTTCCGCGCGGACTCGCGCCATCCCAAACCGGTGGTGCTCCCGGCGAGGGGAGCCCTCTGTCCGGGTGGCGACGGCGATCTGCTGGCAGAGCAGGAATGCGGACCGGAGCGGCTCCGGCGAGTCCCCTCCCCCTCCGGGATCCGGGGATTCCCCGTCCGTTCCAGCAAAGGGGGAACTGATGTGCCCGGTGATTTAATCTTCTCCTTCTCTTTTTATTCGCAAAGGCTACCCAAAAATAAACGCCATCCAGTTATTTGAACGGGATTTGTTTCCCCGCGAACAAATTCTAAATAAACGCTCACGAGGTGTAGTATGGTGGACTGATGGCTTATTAGAAAAGGGGTGTAGGAAAGGAGTTCTTTTCTTTCGGGGGCTGTGGCGATGCCCATTCAACTCACTGTTGGCATAGTTGCCCTTCCTTCAACAAAGTTTCCGTATTCAGTCAAATTCCACCCCCGTAGCGTCAAGGTCGCGACAGCACAACAATACAGCGAGTGGTGTTGTGAAGTGAGACTAAAATAAACGGAACCGCGCTCATGGAGCCACAATCATCATCACTCGGCACAGATATTACAGAAGCCGCGCTCGTTGAATATTCATACCCCGAGTTGTTTTTGTTTTATTTTTACCCACTCACATAAAAATCCTCTCTACGTCAGAGTGTCTTACTATTCGCGTGTGATTGTGTCTGAATGCACGGCTGTGTAGCGTGGCGGCGGCCGGCCACTCGCCGCGGGCCCCTCCCTCCCTCCGTCGCGCCGCCCACATTCGTTCTTCTACGGCGGCGCGGGAGTGGTTGGCGCTGACATTAACTTGCTTTTTAC